GAGTCTGTGAACCAGACAGTCTTGACAGCCTCCCTCTTCTGCTCCGCGGGGCGCGCCGACACCGAACCCCGCGCCACCTCCACCGCAGCGAGTGCCGTCGGGCGTCGGAGGCCACCCCCCCACCCCGCCCCGCCCGCACCGGAGCCGCGCTCTGCCTTGGCTTGAGCGCAATCGTTCGTTGAGAGTCTAGACTGGACACCGATGGCTGACGACGGGGTATGGGGTGGGCCTCGGGTTCGGGCACCTCAGAACCTCGTGCTGTTGGGTTAGTTAAGTCAGGCCTAAGTGTCCCTAGTCACGAGTCAAGATCCGAGAGGTCCCTGTCCTTACTGTCGGCCACCTGCTCCAGGAAGGCGCGGACAGGCACCCGGTGGCAGTCCCCGGCCCCGTTTGTTCCAGCCTTGTATGGTGTGCAGAGCCGGGCAGGCGGGCCGGCTGGCTTGTGGCGGGTCCCTTCAAGTTTCTCCAGTCTGACGAGTTCTCTCCCAACCCTGCTTCAGCTCCTGAACCGGTGCCAGGCAGGTGGCACCTTCCCAGTGCAGCCCCAGCATGCGGGCAGGCCCGAGCCCCGCCGTCACACTGGCCCTGATGCTGGCGGTGGCATGGGCCTCCGAGCTCAAGCCCACGGCGCCTCCCATCTTCACCGGCCGGCCCTTTGTCGTCGCGTGGGACGTGCCCACGCAGGACTGCGCCCCGCGCCACAAAGTGCTGCTGGACCTGAGGGCCTTCGACGCGCAGGCCTCCCCGAACGAGGGGTGGGTGAACCAGAGTGTGACCATCTTCTACAAAGATCGGCTGGGCCTGTACCCGCGCTTTGACCGGGCCGGGCGCTCCGTGCACGGGGGCGTGCCCCAGAACGGCAGCCTCTGGGCGCACCTGAAGCTGCTGCACGAGCACGTGGAACACTACATCCGCACGCGGGAGCCCGCGGGGCTGGCCGTCATCGACTGGGAGGACTGGCGGCCCGTGTGGGTGCGCAACTGGCAGGACAAAGATGTGTACCGCCGGTGGTCCCGCCAGCTGGTGGCCGACCTTCACCCCGACTGGCTGCAAGACCGCGTGGGCAAGCAGGCGCAGTGCGTCTTCGAGTTTGCCGCCCGGCAGTTCATGCTGGAGACGCTGCGCTGGGTGAAGGCGGTGCGCCCGCAGCACCTCTGGGGCTTCTACCTCTTCCCCGACTGCTACAACCACGACTACGTGCAGAACTGGGATAGCTACACGGGCCGCTGCCCCGACGTGGAGGTCGCCCGCAATGACCAGCTCGCCTGGCTGTGGGCTGAAAGCACAGCCCTCTTCCCCTCCGTCTACCTGGACGAGGTCCTGGCCTCCTCGGCCCACTGCCGCAAGTTCGTCAGCTTCCGCGTGCAAGAGGCTCTGCGCGTGGCCAACACCCATCACGCCAACCACGCCCTCCCGGTTTACGTCTTCACACGGCCCACCTACAGCAGAGGGCTCAGGGGGCTCAGCGAGGTACTGGCCGCCCTGGGCCCGCCCCCTGCCTTCCACTTCGGGGCGTCCGCCCTGCCTAGGGCAGGTTTGGGCTACTAGGTTTATCGATAGTGGTGGGACGCGTGCGCGCACACGTCCCACCGTCTTATAGATGAGAATGCTGAGGCCCAGAGATGCTGAGAAATCGGCTCACCTGCTTCCTAGCAAATCCAAGGCCCAGCAAGCCCCGGGGCACAGGCCCCACTGGCTCTGGAGTTTATCCAAATAGATAGGCTTGGTCCCCATGTTTGCTAGTGCTGGGGACCCAAGGCCTGAAATGGGGGTGGAGACTGCCTTACTAAACACTGGAGGGGGGAAAGGATCCCTGGCTGCAGGGGGAGAAGGGTTGACCAGACCCCCAGGGACAGCGGGCAAGGATAGGTGGCCTGGCCCTGCCACCTTGCCATTAGTCATCACCCTGTGGGTCTCAGGCTGCCCTCACCGCTGTGCCCTCCCCCCACAGACAGACCTCATCTCCACCATCGGCGAGAGCGCAGCCCTGGGCGCAGCAGGCGTCATCCTCTGGGGTGACGCAGGGCACACCACGAGTCCGGTAAGCGGGGACCGTCAGCCTGCACATGCAGGAGGTTTGCGCCTCCGCCTCCCAGCTCGGGCCTTGTCCGTTGGCCACTGGAGGCGGCCCTGGCCCCAGCAGAGAAGGAAGGCACCCCCACCCTGCTGCGGGAAAGGGGAAACTCCGTGCCCAGCAGCTGTGGAGTTCCACCCCTCCCAGCCTGCCGAGCTGGGCTTCGGTTTGCCCCCACTCACTCTCAGTCGGAGCAGGGACTGTGGGCCCCGGCACGCCCGTGCGGGCACCTATGTGCATGCATCCCAAGTGATAGGGAAGTGCAGGTGGTCACCCAGGTGTGTGCCCAGCTGTATTGACAGGAAAAGTGCAGGGGGCCACCCACACGTACGCGCAGTCAAACCTACATTAATAGGAAAAGCACACCATTGTGGATACCGTGGACTGGGCAGCTGACCCTGACCTTGGCCTTTGTCCTCAGGATACCTGCGAGTACCTCAAGAACTACCTGACGCAACTGCTGGTCCCCTACGTGGTCAACGTGACCTGGGCTGCCCAGTATTGCAGCTGGGCCCAGTGTCATGGCCATGGGCGCTGCGTGCGCCGAGACCCCAGTGCCAACACCTTCCTGCACCTCAGCGCCAGCAGCTTCCGCCTGGTGACCGACCTCGTGTCTGGGGAGCCCCAGCTGCGGCCCAAGGGCGAGCTCAGCTGGGCCGACCGGGACTACTTGCAGACGCACTTTGGCTGCCAGTGCTACTTGGGCTGGGGTGGCGAGCAGTGCCAGTGGGACCGTGGGAAGGTGGCTGGGGGTGCCAACCAGCCCTGGGCGAGACCCCACCTCCCCAGCCTATTGGCTCTGACAGCCCTGGCCCTCCCCTGGACCTTGTAGGGGTCTCCCACCTGGCTGCCAGGCAAGCTGGCCTCTGCCATGAGAGCTCTGCCAGGCACACAGAGTCTGCAGGAGTGGACAGTACTTCCAGTGGGGCGGGGCCCCCAAGATCTCCAGCAGAGGCACCCTCTCCCCACCCCAGGCCCCTGTTCTAAGGGGATGGGGCAGTACTCCCTGCCATGGGGAAGATGGGGAACATCGGAGGGGGGGGGGCTGACCCTACTTCCCTGCCCTTGGATAGTTTATTATTATTATTTTGGGGGTCTCTTTTGTAAATTAAATAAAAAACAACTGCTTCCTTGCTTGGAATTCCTGTACCTGGGCCAGGGTCTAAGGGAGATTCCAGAATGTCCTGGGGGCTTTGCGGTCAGACCTCTGCCTGTGAGGTCTGGCCTGGGACTTGCCAGCTGCCAAGCACATTCACTGGCATGTGCACCCCCAGCTGGCCGCTCCCTCCAGGGCAGTCCTGCCTGCGGGGCAGGGCCCACATTCTACCCCAGCACCAAGAGCCTTGCTTGCTTGCTTCCTGACAATGACGGGGTGGGGGTGGGGTGCGGCCAGACCCTAGTGATGGACGGAGTTCATTGTGCCTCTACTGCTGCCCCTGCACCCTCTGCTGGGCCACTGCCAGTTGCTTCCCTTGGCCTCGCCTCGCCCACCCAGCGAGAAGGGAGAGTGGTGGCTGTTTGATCTTTTGGGCAGATAGCCAACCACCCCTCCCTGCTGTTCCCACGGGCCTCTCCCCGACTCCTCTCTCCTGTAGACAATGGACTTCAGCCACACACATCACACGCCTCTTCCTGCCCCCCCCCCTACCCCCCCCCCCCAAGGGGCTCGGGGAGGGCCAGAGTTTGGGATGTAAATCTGGAAGTGCAGTCCCTTCCCAGTCCACTACTGCTGGGGCCGTGCTGAGCTGGGGAGCAGAAGCGGCCTCAGGGGTCACCTCCATCTTGACCATGACCATGGAGGGCATGGCTAGTGCCCAGAGGCCCCCGGGGAGAAGGGACTGCCACCAGCTGGCTTCACCACCCCAGTACTGCTTTAGGTCTTTGCCTTGCCCTTTGGCCATCAAAGCTATCCCCCTGCCCCACTTTGCCACGGCCCCTGCCCTCCCTCCGGAAGCTCACTCCTGGGGCTGATCTGAGTGGGCACCTCAGTGCTCGGGGGCCCATGCCCAGGAGGTGGTCCCTGTATCTCCAGGATGGTGACTCACGGTGAGACAGGTGTCTGGAGGCTGAGCCTCGGAGAAGCAGGTGGAGGGCAGGCAGGTGACTATTGAGGGACAGAATGGAAAGCAGGGTGCTCTATGATGGACTGGGAGGACAAGGAGAGCCATTCACATGGGGGTGCCAGGTGCTCATGGCCACAGTGGGCAAAGGGCAGAGAAGAGTCAGGTGTTGGTCAATAAAGCCCGGCAGAGGGAGGGCAAGAAAGTGGAGTGGTCACCTGTCTCCCCTACAGCTGTGATCCTCCACACCTGTTGCCTGTCTCCCCCTCACAGGTGTGAGCCACATGCATACCTGTGATCTGCCCCACCCATACCTAAAAGGGCCCACACGCATACATGAGTAATCCAGACACACCTGTGACTTTCCTGCCCAGCTGGGACTGCCCAGCACACACCTGTGATTTCATACCTACACCTGTGATCTCATACGACTGTTCACACCCACCTCCCCCTCCTGTCACCAGTCCCTGTTAGCCATGACTCCCTGTGTACCTTCACTCTGTGTCCACAAAACTGACCACAACACAGCTGTTACCTTGCCCACCTGTGGCACCACCACCACCAAGACTTAGGCCTCTCCAACACAGCTGTGGCGGACACGTCACTTCCCCAGGAAGATGGGGAAGACAGCAGCCCTGGGAGGGTACAGCCAGAGTTGTCCTGTGAGTGAGGAGAGGGCAAGAACACCCAGAGAGAACAGGCAAGGCTAAGCTGACCCCAAACATAGCACCTGCGCCCGCTGACCAGCCCAGCCTGTAAGAATGGGCCTCTGGGCAGGGCCCTGGAAAGCCAGGGGGCTTCCTCCCGCTTCCCTCCAGTAGAGCCTCTCCCTTGGGCTGCGGCCAGCTGGGATGCTGGCCTGTTGGTTGCCTGGATGGTGCTGAGTTCCTAGAGGTGTTGAAAGCATGGATCCCCAGAGGGGATCCCCTGCGGGGGAGGCTGTGCCAGGCTCTGGCCCTGCGTGGTCACTGCTCTCTAAGAGCTTGTTTCTTAAACAGCATCCCTCCACTGCCCCTGTGGCTGCACACTGCCCAGGCCCCAGCCACTGTGCCCACAGCCTCCATGCCCCCAGGCCTCCTCGTCCTAAGCCCTTCCAGCTTCCAGCTCAGTCAGCGTCCTTTCTCCAGTGCCCACTGGGCCTTGGAGCTCACTGACGCAGGCAGCTCTTTGGCCCAGGGTGAGGATGTGCCAGGCCCTGCCGCCCACTCTGGCAGACCAGTCTGGGCCCATCACCCCTGGAGGTCTCAATAATCAGTATCTGAGTCTGAACAAGTAAAACCACAAAGTAATGAATAAGCCCGGGTAAACTGATAAACATAGTCACACCCATGCTCGTGCAAACAAGGAGTCTCAGGGTCACAGGCAAGGGGGCAGACACACACCTAGTCCCAGGCACTGGGTCACACACACACACACACACACACACACACACACACACACACACACACAGATGACCACTCACGGGAATTCCCCTAAGACCCGGCACTTGTATAGCAGGCTGCAGAGTTCAGGGTTTGGGAGAGTCTCCCGAAGCATCTGACTAAACACAGACTCGTGACGGTATCATCACAAACGCAGCCCGGATCATCTTTATTGTCTTCATACCAACATCGTGGTTAAACCTATTTCTTCCATCTCTTTTTCTTTAATGAGAAGGGGCCCGTGAATGTGGTTAACGTAGCCATTAGGCCTGAATGTACACAGCCCTAGACATGCAGAGAGCTCTGCCCAGCTGGCCACCCTGGCCTACACACACACACACACACACACACACCCCTTCTTGGGGCCTCCTAATAAAGCCAGAGTCCTACCCTAGGAGGTGGGGGTGGGGGCAGGAAAGTAGCACCTCCCACCAAGGGCACTTTGCTTGGAGAGCAGCAGTGATAGCTGTCTGTTAAGCCCAGGGCCCGCCCCTTGGCTCGTCCCCAGACTGGGTGGGGTGACCCCATACAAAATCTCAGACTTTCCAGCAGCGCCAGCTTCCTCTCAGAGTTCTTCCTGCAGCTGGAGCCAGAGTTGAGGAACGGTGGAATCTGCCTGGGTCCTGCCTTACCCACTACCCTGGGCTCAGGCATTTTGGAATGAGGCCCCGCAGGCCTGAGGTTAGCAGGGACAAGCTCGGGCTGGTGGGTCCACAGGAGGGCTAGGCTGCCCTGCCCTCGTAGTCGTTAAACAACCCCTCCTCTGATGACTGGCCGGGGTTCCAGGGGGAGGGACAGGGAAAGCTCACACCAGCAGGTCGGTGGAAGGGCCAACCAAGGACCTGGTTCTTGGCTCTAATTCAACGGAAGTCGGTCCTCATAGGCCTTGGGGAAAAGGGCTGGGTGGAAAACCTGTGGCCAGGGTAAGGTCTGTGAGGTAGAGGGCAGAGGCCCCGCCCAGGAAGCAACTCAACATAGGACCACCAGCTGCAGGAATACCCTCTCTGCACCGCCCCCCACCCCTTTGCCACTGACCCGCCTGGGGCCTGCAGGTCAATATTTGCTTGATGTCAGAGCCAGGGTGGGTTAATGAACAACGGACTCACTAGAGGCCACAGAGTCTGAGGGCCTGCTCTCACTCTGCCTCCCTCGACCAGGTTCTCTCAGACCCGCCCCCAGCCATGGCATGCCGGCTGCTGCCCTCCTGCGTGCTCTTCCTGGCCTTGCTGGGCATGGCCCAAGGTGCCAGGGACACTGTGGTACCCAACCAACCGTTCACCACCGTCTGGAACGCAGACACCCAGGGGTGCTTGGAGAGACACAGCGTAGATGTGGACGTCAGTGTGTTCGATGTGGTTGCCAACCCACAGCAGGCCTTCCGCGGCCCTGACATGACCATCTTCTACCGTGACCAGCTGGGCACCTACCCCTACTACACGGCTACTGGGGAGCCCGTGGCTGGTGGCCTGCCCCAGAATGCCAGCCTGTCCACCCACCTGGCCCTCGCATGCCACGACATCCTGACTGCCATGCCCCAGCCTGACTTCTCCGGCCTGGCGGTTATTGACTGGGAACCATGGCGCCCACGTTGGGCCTTCAACTGGGACAGCAAGGACATTTACCGGCAGCGCTCGAGGGAGCTGGTGCAGGCAGAGCACCCTGACTGGCCCCCTTACAGGGTGGAGGCAGCGGCCGAGAAACAGTTCCAGGAGGCTGCGCAGGCCTGGATGATGGGCACCCTTCAGCTGGGGCAGGCTCTGAGGCCTCGCGGCCTCTGGGGCTTCTATGGCTTCCCTGCGTGTTACAACTATGACTTTCTCAGCCCCAACTACACAGGCCAGTGTCCCACGGACGTCCGTGCCCAGAATGACCAGCTGGGGTGGCTCTGGCGCCGTAGCCGGGCTCTCTACCCCAGCATCTACCTGCCTGAAGCGCTGAAGGGCAGTGGGAAGACACAGATGTTTGTGCGGCACGGCGTGGGGGAGGCCTTCCAGGTGGCCCGGGCTGCTGGGGTCAGTGACCTGCCCGTGCTGCCCTATGCTCAGATCTTCTATGAGATGACTAACCACTTCCTATCACTGGTGAGTCACTTCCTGTGACCCTGCCCACCTTGTGATTTGCCTGGTCAGCCAGGGTGTGTGTGGGGGGGTGGGGGGGTGGGGGGGGTGGTAGTGGCCACACCACCTTAGGGCACTTTCATCTCTTGCTCCACACCTTCTTTGAGCCTGGCTGTGTGCCCACTTTAGCACGCTGCAGTCTCGGCTGGTATGACATTCTCGGGCTACAGAGGGACAGCTTGCCTTCCAGCCACCCCAGTCTTAGCTGGAGGGTTAAAGAGCTGCATGTGTCCCACCCGGGGGCGAGGGGCGGGTGGTGGGGGTGCAGCAGTCCCTGAGTTGTGCTGCCCCTTTCCCAGGATGCCCTGGAGCAGAGCCTGGGGGAGACTGCAGCCCAGGGAGCAGCGGGAGTGGTGCTCTGGGTGAGCTCGGAGAACACACGGACCAAGGTGAGCAGCACAGTGGGGTGACGGGTGGGCTGGGGCCACCAGGCAGTGGAGACCCTGGCCCGCCTTTCCCGTCTCCCCCCTAGCTAGCCAAACAGGAGATTAAGTGACTCAGTGCCCTGGGTGTTCAGTGATGCCGTGTCCTCCCCCCTCCCCCCTCAGGAGTCATGCCAGGCCATCAAGGAGTATGTGGACACCACCCTGGGATCTTTCATCCTGAACGTGACCAGCGGGGCGCTCCTGTGCAGCCAGGCCCTGTGCTCGGGCCACGGCCGCTGTGTCCGCCGCCCCAGTCACCCGGAGGCCCTCCTCTTCCTCAACCCTGCCAGTTTCTCCATCCAGCCCTCACCTGGTGGTGGGCCCCTGACCCTGCGGGGGGCCTTGTCCTCTGAGGATCAGGCTCAGATGGCTGAGAAGTTCATGTGTCGCTGTTACAGTGGCTGGCAGGGAGCGTGGTGTGAGCAGCATGGTGTATGAGGATCCAGAGGCTGGTCACTTACAAATGCTTGCACACACACACACACACATCTGTCTGCACCCGGCCATGACTTTCCAAGTACAGGCACAGTCAGTGTCACACAAGCCACGTCATAGTCAGGTGTACACTCGGTCACCACCCTGAGCATGCACACACGCTGGGGGGTCCAGCAGTCACGTAGGGAGTGAGAGCCTCAGGTCCCTGGCCCAGCAGCTCAGAGCAAAGTCCTCCAGAGACGCTGGAGCCAGTCTTGACTCTGAAATCAGCACCACAGCTGGTATTCACTGTGCACGTGCTCCGGGCCAAGCCCTGTGCCCAGCACTGAAAGTGGGCATGCTCCTGTAACCCTCCACAACAGGAATAGGAAACAAACAGAGGCAGCTACCAGGGAGGGCAAGAGCTTTGCTCAAGTGGATCGTCGGTTAGCAGAAGCTGCAATTCGAACCCAGGCGCTATCGTCGGTGGTGGAACCCTTCAGCTCCAGTGTGTTGACTGATGGTGACCAGCCATGCTCGGACGCTGAACCATTCTGCGGCCCAAGCTCCGCACAGTCCCGCAAATAAAGCAAACAGGGAACTTCGAGAGCTGCTTATCGAGCGCCTATAATGTGCAAGGGGTCGACAGGGCAGACTCGTCGCACCTAGTCAGAATCTGCTTCCCAGGGTGAGGCCCAAATATCAGCAAGAAACTGCACCAGACCCTTTCAAAGCTGGGAATGGGCTAGGGCGGGCTGACGGGGGCGGGGGCGTGCCCAAAGTCCGGCGGGGCGGGGCCTGTCTGCGCCAGGGGCGGGAGAAGCTGAAGCCCCGCCCTCTGGAGGTGGGGCCTGAGCGCAGTGGCGGTCGTGACGCCCCGAGCAGGGGGGCAGAGCCTCGGCAGCTCAGGAGAGGGGCGGGGCCTCCGACGTGACCCGTGGGGAAGAGGCGGAGTCCGCGGGAGGCGGGGCTTGCGCTGGGTCGGCGCTGTGATTAGCCGGGCCGGCGGGGCGGGGAGAGGGCGGAGCCAGTGCTAGGCCGAGTCGCTGCCGGGTCAGCGTTGTGACGCGTGCGCCAGGGGCGGGGCTTCAGGGGTGACTGGCGAGGCCCGGCGCGCGGGGCCTGGGTCCGGGGGCGACGCCAGGACCTGGTCGTGAATCGCGGGCGCCGACGACTGCAGTGTGTCCGCCGGACCGCTGGGGGCCAGAGCGGACAGGCGAACGGAGGAGTCCAAACCAGAGCGAGGCGGGCCGAGCGTGGACGCGGCGCATCCCGGAGCGCGGCGTCAAGATGTCAGTACTCGCCCTCCCCCAGCGCGCCCCCGACCCTCACCTGAGCCGAGCCCGCGGCCCCCACGGGGCTGCGTGGCCCTGTACGCCCTCGCTGCATCGGTCGTTGCCTCCCGGAGTAAGCCGGGCCACACCTACCCATAGTCAAACTCCGGAAGCCCCAAGTCTCTGGCCCGCGATCCCCCGGCGGGAGGGGGAAATCGAGGCATCAGAGAAATGGTGCAGATCCTCTCGGGGCGGGGAAGTACAGGAGCCCAGCGCCTTTCGGTCAAAGGAGGTGGAGTCGGCACGGAGCGGGTTAAAGCGGCCAGTTAGGGTAGGGCTCCCGCCTAGGGGCGGTCCCGGGGGCTTCCTCTCTGCGGAGCCTAGGGTGCTACTACACAGCTTCGGACCTGGCTGGTACAGGTAAGGGCCCTAGTAACCTGAGTGGGATGTAGTGTGAGGGGAGGGGCCTTCCTGAGACTGGCCAGTATTGAACTGCCCCCAACTTTAGGCCCCTCTCCTGGGGAGATGGGGGGTAGGATCAAGACACCCCTCCTGGAGCAGGGGAGTATAGGAGTGGGGCCCAGTTGTCCCCCACTCTCAGAATCCCATAGAGAATCCCATTGGAGACTCCTGCCAGCAGGGCCTGATGCAGAGTGGGCACACAGTGGGGTCTAGGCACCCCCAGCTAGGCAGCCCTGGGCACCCCCAGCTTGGCAGCCGTTAGGTACCTCCTGTGGATGGAGGAAGGAAGCTATAGATAGCCCTTATCTAGGGTGGCTACGAAACTCAGGGCAGTGGGGAACCAGGCCTGCAGGAGCCTCATTGCTCGTGACTCTGCACCATTGGGGAGAGTGTGGGGGGCAGACAGTTGGGTCCCTGCTCAGTGAGCGTGCAGTGAACTGGACAGAGTTGGGGAAGGGGCCTTGGACTCTGCCCCTGGTGGGAAAGGCAGCCCTAAGAGGGGAAGCTGAGGCTGTGGGGAAGGTGAGTGGCAGCCCAGGCTTGGGCTAGCTCAGAGGTCTGAAAACGTCAGTGCTGTTTCGTCCTCTCTCAGAACAGTTGGCAGCCATGGATGAATTTAAGCTAGGAGGTCACCGAATTTTGCATGGTCTAGCCAGTGGCTGACCAGCTTTGGTGGTGGACTACTGAAGACAGGATGGCCAGCGAGGGGGCTGGGTTAGCTGGCCCAGCTCAGTGAAGGCCTGAGGAAGGCACAGACAGCAGATTAGGCCTGGGCCAGGACTCCTGGGCTCATCCTTGCCCTCAACCTCCTTCCAGTGCGGGACAGGTCACCTTGAACCCAGACACACTGCCCTTCACCTGAGTCAGTCCCCCTAGGTCTAGGGAGTGGGCTTGCAGGTCACCTATGAGCAGTCAGGTGCATGAGGATAAAGCTACAGCCCATGACCTCCCAGTTCCAAGATGCATGACATCCCTATTCCGCTGGACACCCCCAACCTCTGCCCAGTCCCTGCCTGCCTTCCCAGCCTGGCCGGGCCCAGCATGGGCTGTTGTCCACAGGAGACCCCGTGTGGTCTGAGAAAACGCCACTGCCTGGAGGCTGCAGCCTTAACCCCCAGCTGAGCGCCGAGCACCCTGCAGCCTGGCGGGGCTAACCTTGGATCCTGCCTTCAGCAAGAGCTCACTTTGAATCCCAGCCGACCCCACTCAGACCCTGCCCACTGGATGGAGCTGATCCTGAGGCCCAGCCCAACCAAGCCGCTCCCGCACCCCGCATGCCTCCCAGAGTGGACTGTGGACCCCTCAAGTCAACCAGAGCTGTCGCCAAGCCTCAGGCTAGCTGAGCTGACCCCAAGTCCTGCGTGCCCTCCAGAGATGCCCCTCAGACCTGGGGCCACTGAGATGCTTCCAGAGCCTGCACACCAGCTGGAGGGGCCCCCCAGGCCCAGGCCCAGCCTGGCTGAGCTGACCCTGGAGCCTGTGCACCGGAGGCCTGAGCTGCTGGAGGCCTGCGCCGACCTCATCAACGAGCAGTGGCCTCGCAGTCGGGCCTCCCGCCTCCACTCCCTCGGCCAGTCCTCAGATGCCTTCCCACTCTGCCTAATGCTGCTGAGCCCCCGCTCCATGCCCGGGGTGGCCCCCACTGTGGTGGGCCATGCCCGCCTGTCCCGGGTATTGGGCCAGCCCCAGAGTCTCCTTGTGGAGACAGTGGTGGTGGCCCGGGCACTGAGGGGCCGAGGCTTCGGCCGCTGCCTCATGGAGGGCCTGGAGGGGTTTGCCAAGGCCCACGGCTTCTGCCGGCTGCACCTCACTACCCACGATCAGCTCCACTTTTACGCCCACCTGGGCTACCAGCTGAGTGAGCCTGTGCAGGGCCTGGTTTTCACCAGCCGAAGGCTGCCCACCGCCCTGCTCAGTGCCTTACCCAGGGCCTCCCATCCCCAGCCGCCCTTCAAGGCCCCCAGCCTGACTCTAGGAGCCCCAAAGGGGCCCCCATTGCCACCACCCCCTCCGCTGCCAGAGCCTCTGCCCATCCAGCCCCCAGCAGGCACCCCTCCACAAAGTCTGTTAGAGACACAGTACTGGGACCTGAGGGGCTCCCCCATCTTCTGGATGGAGAAGGTCCTCTGAGGGCCACTTGGGACGAGGCACTGTCCTCCTGGACCCATGGCCTGCCCAGGACAGTGCCAGCCCCTAGACCATGGTGATGGAGCTAGCCTGTCCATATTTCCTGAGTGCCAGTGGGGCCACGAGGTGCCTTTAGGCCCTGGCTCAGAGCCATCAGTGGGACTGAATAAAGGCTTCTATTGGGTGTAGGTGTGACTGCTCATTGGATGACACTCCCCCCCCTACTCCTGCCTCCCAGCCGGTCTCAGGACCCCAGACCCTCCCTGGTCCCAGAACCCTAGTGGAGAGACACCTGCCCTTTACCCATCTCACCCTGCCAGGCCCAGGGAACAAACCCAGGATGGCTAGTCCCTTCTCATTCATTCACTCCCCACCACACACTGAACCCCTGCCGTGAGTCTGGCCTGACCCGGGCACAGCCAACGAGGAGTCAAATAGGCTTTTGACCCAGAAGGACACCGCCTGGGACAGGGGAAGGACTGAGGTGGGAGCCAGTTGGCCTCACCCCATCTGTGGATCCAAGGGACCTGTCCCAGGGAAGTGCCGTCACTGCAGAAACAGTGCTGAGCAGGAACTAGCCAGGCCAGGAAGCGAGGGCTGTGTGTTCTTGGGGCTGCGAACAAGATGGGGAGAGGCAAGAAGGGCCCTCTGAGAGTGCCAGGGGTGGGGGGCCTCAGGTCACGGGGGCAGACCTGGCAAGGGAGCTGCCTAGGCCAGCTTGGCGGTGTGTTTGATCATGTGAGGACCCTTGTGGACCATGTTTTCCTAAGCCCCCAGATCCTTGTGGGAAGGGGCTGGGGAGCAGCCCTGGTCCCTAAGCTCCGCGCTCTCTCTTCTCCTGCAGGTTTCTGCCCCTGGGGCACGATCATGCACCTGGTCCTGGTGCTGGGGGTGGCCTTGTGCCTGGGGCGTGGCCAGGCTTCGCTGGGGGCCCCTGAGCGCCCCTTCTCTGTTCTGTGGAACATGCCCTCAGCACACTGTAAGGACCGCTTCGGCATACGCCTGCCACTCGAGGCCCTGGGCATCACAGCCAACCGTGGCCAACGCTTCCGAGGGCAGAACATCACTATCTTCTATAAGAATCAGTTTGGCCTCTACCCCTACTTTGGACCTGGGGGCATAGCTCATCATGGTGGCATCCCCCAGGCTGTGCCCCTCGGCCGACACCTGGCACGGGCTGCCTGTCAGATCCGCCACAGCCTGGACCCTGGCTTTGCTGGCCCGGCAGTGCTGGACTGGGAGGAGTGGTGTCCACTCTGGGCTGGGAACTGGGGCCGCCGGCGGGTTTACTGGGCAGCCTCACGAGCTTGGGCACGGCAGGTGTTCCCCGACCTGGACCCCGAGGATCAGCTCCACGAGGCCCACGCTGGCTTCGAACAGGCAGCCCGTGTGCTGATGGAAGGCACACTGCGCCTGGGCCGGGCCCTTCGGCCTCATGGGCTATGGGGCTTCTATCGCTTCCCAGCCTGTGGTAATGGCTGGCACAGCATGGCCTCCAACTACACCGGCCGCTGCCATGCAGCCACGCTTGCCCGAAACAGGCAGCTGCACTGGCTGTGGGCTGCCTCCAGTGCCCTGTTCCCCAGCATCTACCTCCCGCCCAGACTGTCACCTGCCCACTTCCAGACCTATGTCCTGCATCGCCTGGAAGAAGCCTTCCGTGTGGCCCGCACTGGCCACCTGCACCCACTGCCTGTCCTGGCCTATGCCCGCCTCACACGCCGAGACTCGGGGAGGTTCCTGTCCCAGGTGAGTGGAAACAGGACTAGCGGTCTGGATGGTACCTAGCCTCAGAAAGGCCCAGGATTCCCTGGAGGGGAGGCCCTTCCACGGGACATGTGATGGGGGAAGTGTGACTTTGTCCTGGAGGATCCTGGGGGGAAGGCAAGGCCCCCTGCCTTTGGAGCACTGGTTTAAAGGGAAATATTTCTCGGAGTCATGGGCCTGAGGGGCCACCTAGAGCATCAGTTCTCAACCTATGGGTTGTGAGCCCTTTGGGGGTCAAACGACCCTTTTACAGGGGTCGCCTGATTCATAACAGTAGCAAAATGACAGTGATGAAGCAGCAATGAAAATAATTTATGGTTGTGGGGTCACCAGCACATGAATGTATGAAAGGGTGGGGGCATTAGGAAGGTTGAGAACCACTGACTTAGAGGCTCAGTGCGCAAAGGGATCGGAATCAGACCAGGGTGATCAGACTGCCAGCCTAGACAACGCTGAGCAGCTCTTTGCCTCCAGGAGGAGCTCCTGCACACCATGGGGGTGAGCGTGGCACTGGGTGCTGCTGGTGTGGTGCTCTGGGGAGACCTGAGCCTCTCCCGATCCAAGGTGAGTCCCGCGTTCTCCAGCCTACCAGTCATGCTGGCCCCCAGGGTCGGGGAGGCTGGTGTTGGGGCATGGGGCAGAAGCCATGGCGTACATCCGCACCCTCTTCCCGCCCCCAGGAAGAATGCTGGCGTCTCCACCATTACCTGGTGGGCACCTTGGGCCCCTACGTGATCAACGTGACCAGGGCAGCTGTGGCCTGCAGTCACCGGCACTGCCACGGTCACGGGCGCTGCGCCCGGCGAGACCTGGAGCAGCTGGAAGCCTTTCTGCATCTGCAGCCAGATGGTGCCCCTGGAGCTTGGGAGGCCTTCAGGTGCCACTGTTACCGAGGCTGGGCTGGGCCCACTTGCCAGGAGCGTGAGGCTGGGCCTAAGTAGTGCACCTAAAGCCGGGAGTCACCTGTCGCCCACCTCCCGAACTACTGCTCTTACTGCTCTTGTCCCTGCAGCAGCCCGCTCAGCCCAGGAGGGAGCCCGCAGTCCACCCCTGCTCCGTTCAGCTCAGTCAACCCGCCTGCTCAGGAGCACAAAGGTTTCTCTCTCCTCCACATCCTGGGAGGTGCAAAGGCCCAGGGGAAACACTTCAGGGTCTGGAAAATCTGAACAGCACCCCCACCCCCACCCAAGAAGCCCTGGTGACTGTGGTTATGAACGGCTAACCGCAAGTCAGCAGTTGGAAACCAGTAGCTGAGGGAGAAGGACGAGGCCTTAAGCTCCCCTAAAGAATAACACCGCTCTTTTAAAAATAAAAATCTGACGCCTCCTGAAGAGGAAGCGTGCAAGGTTCCAGGTCCTTGGGACTGTCGGCCCAAAGTTTGGCGTCCACACTGGACTGGGTCTATGAGGAGGTCACTGGAGGCGGAGCCACGGGCTGGGGAGCCCCAGGGAGATCTGCACTGAGCTGGGCGCGCTAAACTCTTGATACGCTGCTTTCATCATAAACTCCCTCTCTCACTGGCTGATTTTGGCTGCCTTCACTTTCTCTCCGAGCCCCTCCCTGCTAGCCCGGTCACTTGATCGAGATAGCCACGAGGATCCGTGCCGGTTACCCTGCTTCGAGAAGCCTGGGATGTCAGCCTTGCTGTGGGGCGCTGCTCCGCGGGGGCAGCTTCTGAGTTGGTTAACTCGTGTGCGGCCCGGGGCTGCGGGGCATTGTTGGTGCACAGTCCAGCTAGCGTAGCGGGCTACTCCCGGAGGCCGACTACAATTCCCGAGCTGCCCTGCGCCCAGTCGCCCGCTGCCTGCCGCGCGCACGGCCTCCTGGGAGTGGTAGTCTCCGCCGCTGGAGCGGAGGGCCGAGCCAGCGAGCCGAGAACTCGCCCTCCCGGCGGCCCGCGTGTCTGGGCGGGGCGCCTCGCGAAGATGGTGGAGCGCGCGGCTAGAGGCTCCAGTCGCTCGCTGAGGTCTCGGCGCCGCTCCCCGGCCAGTGTCGCGCTGGTCCCGAGCCCCGGGCCGCCAGGTCCCTGACCCTTCGCCCCCAGGGTTCGATTCCTGAGATGCCTCGCGCCCGCAGGGGGCACGCTCCCCGTAAGGGCGGCCAGCGCCGCCGCGGCGGCGGTGAGTAGGGGGCGCGGGACCGCTGGTGGGTGCAGGGCAGGGGCGGGGCGGAGTCCTGGTGGGTCACTTGGAAAGGTCCCGCGGTGGCGATCCCGCTGCAACCAGCGGGGGCAGCCTTCCGGAATTCCCGGCGGCCAGCACGTGCTCGGGGAAGCAGCGGCCACGTGTGCGCCTAACTTGAGCGGGCTGCCACCTGCCTAGAGCTGGGCTCTCTGGGCTGTGGTCCAGCCGGCACCTCGCGGCCCCAGCCTTGCCCCTGCCCTTCCACCCCAGGTGCCCCATAGCTTGGGCAAACCCGTCGGAAAGGAAGGGCAAGCTGCCTCTTCGGCTGCGGCAAGCCCTAAGCTTTTCCCGACTGGATGAGGAAGTTGGCCGGAGGCCCTGGAAGGCCAGCCTGGCCGAGACACCTAGGGCCAAGGAGGGCCAGCTGGAAGCAGCCTGGCTTCGGCAGCCTGGGCACCCCGCAGAGAAATTGGGGGAGCCCACGCCCAGGCGCAGGGCAGTGCTGGGCTCACTTATCAGTGTCTACCAGGAGCAACTTGGTGAAGTAAACACAGGATGGGACAGCTGTGGGGCACAGCCCAGCCCCTGGCCACCGCCTCCATGGGAACTTGGTTGGGGGGTGCTGAGTGGTCAGTGCCAAAGCCAGAGGACCATTGCTGGGGCAAGTTCACCCAGCACTTGGGCTCCAGGCTTAGGGGCAGGAGAGACAAGGCAGGGGGTCAGCTTCCTTGAGCTCCCCCAAGGCGGAGCCTGGCCAAGGCAACTAGTTAGGCAGAGGTCAGGTTGTTCGGGCCAGCAGAGTGTTGGGGTTGAGCAGAGACAGATACGTGCTGGGCTGTGTCTGAAGGAAGGCAGAGGGTGTTTCCTGGAAAGTGCAGCTCTGCTGTCCCCAGCACCTGGCCGGCTGTCAGCCTCACCCCGGGCAGAGTCCCCTGCACAGGTGTGTTCCAGCTTGCTGGTCTGGACACCCGTCTCCACCTGGGTCCAGGCCGGGCGCTTGCTCACGGAGGGTCACTTTGCTCCCAGCTGCCACACTCAGGGTTAGGAGGAGCTGTGTGCCTATCCTGTGGGCCAAAGGCCCAGGATGGACCCAAGAGAGGTGGAAGTCTGGGGTACTTACCCCTCCCCCACGCCGTAGACACTGAGCTGCCGCCGTCCCCCCACCCCCACCCAGGCAGACGAGTCACGTCGTAAACATGTGTGTCCACAGAAGAACAAGTAACTAGCTTGTTTAGTCAGGGTCTCCACCCAAGAGAAGGTTTTGCGTCTCTGCTTTGCAGATGGAGAAACTGAGTCTGGCCACACGGGACTTGAAGCCTGAGGATGTCTGATTCTCAAGCCTAAGTCCCTGGTACTCTGCCTGTGCCCGCCCTGTGGACATAGTCCAGACTGGCTGGTCTCCCTACCCAACCACCAGACCACCATCTCCTCCTCTGCTTCCCAGTTCAGCGGCCCTGCTTCAGCCCGTGCTGCTGGCTGTCTCGCCCCTGGTTTCTTATCTCTGAGAAGAGGCCATTTTGGGTCTTGTGACGTCATGTGGCCGGTGTGAGCACTCTGCTTTCCCCAGGTGCCCGGGGCAGTGCCCAAGCCGACTCAGGGTCCAGCGAGGATGAGGCAGCCAGTGAGGCCCGCAGCACCACCAGCGAGTGCCCCAGCGTCCTCAGTGCCCCTGCAGAGGATGGCCCCGGTGAGTGGGCAGGTGCTGGGTTGGGGTTCTCGTCGTGTGGGGAAGGGGGTGGCACTGACAGGCCGGCTTTGCAGGGGGCGATGGCATGGAGGAGCAGGCCCAGCAGGAAGACCTGGAGGAGAAGATGAAGGAGTATGTGGACTGCCTCACGGATAAGAGGTACCCCCAGCTCCATGTCCCTGCTTGGCCCAGACCAAGGGTGGCCTGGCCCCCATCACCCACCACCTCTGCCCCTCCTCCAGTGCCAAGACCCGGCAAGGGGCCCTGGAGAGCCTGCGCGGGGCCCTGGCTTCTCACCTGCACCCCGACTTCCTGCAGGAGCGCTGCCTCACCCTGGCGGATGCCCTGGAAAAGTGCCTCAAGAGAGGTTGGCAGCAGGTGGGCAGGGGGGTGGGGGAGCGGGGGCCGGCCCTGGCTACTCAGGCTAACCGAACGGCACCCCCTAGGGAAGGGTGAAGAGCAGGCCCTGGCTGCGGCTGTGGGAGGCCTGCTCTGCGTGCAGCTGGGTCCTGGGCCCAAGGGTGAGATGCTGTTCCGCAGCTTGCAGCCCTCGCTGCTGTCCCTGCTCAGCGACAACACAGCCAGCCCCTCGGCCCGGCTCCACGTGAGTGTTCCCTGAGCAGCGCGGGGGTGGGGATTCCCCGAGACACTGCTCCCTTCCTCTGAGGGCCCGGGAGGCAGATGACCGGGACCACAGGCTCAGCTGCGGGCTGCCCTGACCCGTACCCTCCCCAACAGTGCGCGTCTTCTCTCGGCCTGGGCTGCTATGTGGCTGCTGCCGACATCCAGGTGAGTGGCCTCTGGGGACAGGTGGTAGAGCACCTACACCCCGCTCTGCCCCTGAGCCTCTCCCCTGCTTCCCTGTGCCCCTAGGACCTGTTCTCCTGCCTTAATTGCTTAGAAAGTATTTTCAGCTGGGCCTGTGCCATGCGTGGCTGCCCGGCTCCCGTGGCACCTGCTGGGCAGCATGGGCTGCTGTGTGCCGCCCTGCAGGCCTGGGCCTTGCTCCTCACCATCCTCCCCAGCACCCACATCAGCCACGTCCTTGACAGGTAAGGGCGGGGAGCAGGGAGGAAGCCCCCCCGCCCCACCATCCAACAACACCGCTAAGCCTGCCCCTTTCCCAGGCAGCTGCCCCGGCTGCCCCAGCTCCTGTCCAGCGACAGCGTGAGCCTGCGGATCGCGGCCGGTGAGACCATCGCCTTGCTCTTCGAGCTTGCCCGGGACCTGGAGGTGCAGGAGGCCGGGGTGGGTGGGAATGGAGGGTGCCAGCTGCCGCCACCTGGCTCTCCCAGGTCAGCCCTCGCCCAG